TATTAATCAAGATATAAATTCTCTGCTTGGACAATAACACACATAATAAATTTTTCAAACTGGTTTATTTGATGTCGGTAAATTCTCGTTGGTAAAAAGTGGTGTCGGAAAACTGTGACTGGTAAAGAGGAATACGTTCTGATTGGTAACACATAGTATTGGTAATACCTCGTGTCGGTAAATTATGGTCAACGAAGCTGTGTTGGTAAACTATGGTCAACAATGATTTATCAAACTTTTCTGCTCTCACATATTTTATATGGCCGGTAAATCAGTTCGCGCGACAAGATTGTTAAAAATGTTGTAACACCTTGAAAGAGGTGGTTCGGGAGGTAATTTGAAACAACTTTTTCCTTAGCGAAAATGTTGTCCGAGGCTTCGTTGAGGAGATATTAAAGGAAAACACTGACCAATCAGAGCGCGCGGATACCGTTGGAGCGGCCGTGGTAGCGAAGGCTACGAGCGAAGGCGGCCGCGTCAATGTCCTTTGATGCACGTCGAGTCGTTAGTTCGCGTACAAGCGCGGCCGCTTAGCACATAGCCTTCGCTACCGCGACCGCTCCAACGGTATCCGCGCGCTCTGATTGGTCAGTGTTTTCCTTTAATATCTCCTCAACGAAGCCTCGGACAACATTTTCGCTAAGGAAAAAGTTGTTTCAAATCACCTCCCGAACCACCTCTTTCAAGGTGTTACAACATTTTTAACAATCTTGTCGCGCGAACTGATTTACCGACCATATAAAATATGTGAGAGCAGAAAAGTTTGATAAATCATTGTTGACCATAGTTTACCAACACAGCTTCGTTGACCATAATTTACCGACACGAGGTATTACCAATACTATGTGTTACCAATCAGAACGTATTCCTCTTTACCAGTCACAGTTTTCCGACACCACTTTTTACCAACGAGAATTTACCGACATCAAATAAACCAGTTTGAAAAATTTATTATGTGTGTTATTGTCCAAGCAGAGAATTTATATCTTGATTAATAATGATGTCGGTAAATTCTGATCGTAACAGTCTGTCAGTCGTTCCCATAGGACTCCTTTTATTCGTCAATTACAATCTTCGATCTAGTAGATTGTTCTATTTCAGTTTATCATTTTCAAATCCTTTAAACGAAAACAACTTGGTTTATACCCATACGAATGATGTAGAAAATTTAATAATAGAAAAATTGGACACATTGCACAAAAAATCTAGTGGTGTTTATAGATGATAGGTAGATTCTAGTAGGTATACAGGTACGTATGCATTAGCATGTATTCCCCTTGTCTATAAATAGATCCTATTGAGGAATTCAACCTCCTCTCGAGCAAACCGGTGTACGTTTAGTTACTAATTATTTCTCTGTGGAAACGGACGACCGTTGGTTCAAAAAATCAATCATCGCCTTTAAAAAATTTCAATTATTCGATAGATTTTGTCGAATGTGAACCTATTCTGTGCTCAATCTAATACGTACAGCGTTTATCTATTAAATTGCTGGTTGGTCACATACAATGCCTACATTAAAACAGTTATTTAAGTGACTTTGATTATTTCTGATTGACTTGAAATCAATTTGTTCTTTAGCAGATCACATACAAGATCATATACAGTCAATATACATATATAATCGTAGATATATACAGAAATAATTATTTTGATTTGATCAAAATAGTTAATTTTGTATACATATTATATTTCGAGGAAACGTATTTTATGAATGATAATTTCCTTTTCACAAAAAATATTTATATCTTTAATTCATGTGTATCTCATATATATTTAAAATGATTACTTTCTAATAACACTTTAAATAACTCAATTTTAAATAATTACTGTTTACGTGAAAACAGGACTTTTTAAAAATTTGCCCAATGGCACCTCAACCTATTTGTGCTATTTGTGGAAAAAGTGGAGTACATAAGTGTAGTGCTTGTGAAAATGCTTATTATTGTAGTAGACAGCATCAAAAAGAAGACTGGAAAAAACACTCAAAAATCTGCAAACCGTTTAAGGTTAGACATTGTTGTTAATGATTCGGTACGATGTTAAATATTTTGACACTATGATAGTGCCGTATAGAGTAGCGATATCTTTTCTATTACTCTCATATTATGTTATATCGAGTTCTTGGCTTTCTGTAAAAGTTATTTTACAATCTTACGCTTCCTTATGGTACATTTTTTCGAATTAAATTTATAATATTTTGTTAGAATTAAAACGGCATATATGTATGTTAAAATCCTTTTTTTCAGATAAAAAATTCCTTTGGTTTGTGTGTATTCGATTAGAGCAAAAAGAAATTACTATACATTACAATGTACACCAGGCCCGCGAGGGTTATAATTTTACAATATAACATTTATTTTAATTTTTAATTATCTTATTACAAGCTCCCATCCATTAGCTCGGTATTACTCGCCACGATTAATAATATTCCAAAGTTGACAGAAAATCCCACGTTGGGTCGTTACTATGTGGCCACGAGAAATATTAAACAAGGAGAAATCGTTATCAAGGATAATAAACCTCTAGTCGATGGTCCTATGCACAATTCTGTTCCAGTCTGCCTTCGATGTTACACAATGTTGTATAAAACTACCGCAGTGCCTTGCACGAAATGTGGATGGCCTCTTTGTGGGGACTGCAAGGACCATGGTTTGGAATGTGATTTCACTTCTTCGCGCAGAAATGATAAGGTGATCGTTACGTTGAAAACATAAAGTTAGAATAATAAAAATAAGCAAAATTTTATGACTAGTAAAATTTAATTAAAAATCCTATTCTAATCCCAGGAGTTGTTTGGATTTAATATTTTTACTTACATTAGAATTTCATCAGGTATCCATCACTGAGTTCGGTTATCCACATCCAAGTTATCAGTGTATAAATGTCATAAAAGTACTATCTATGAAAAACAACAACCCAGAATGTTATCAAAAGTTGTTATCACTTGAGGGCCACTCGGACAGACTAAAAGAAGAGAGAAGTTTCAACTTCGAGAAACCGACGAACACCGTGAATTTCATCAAAAGATTTTTTAAAACGGACGATATATCGGAAGAAGAAATGATAAAAATCATCGGAGTCCTGCAGGTATCAAATTTAGTAAACCAGTATAGTAATGAATTGCTCACCGATGTATAAAAGTCAAATATTATACTTCTGCATAGACATAAAAAAAAACTGACGATTCATTTACAAAATCAGCACTGTTTATATGAGACCACAATATACACGTTTATTCGAATCTATAGGAATGTGTATTAGGGTGAAGTAGGGCAAGAGTATGAATTCAGTAAGGTAGTGATACTCAAAGGTTTATAAAGCGATTCAGGACCTCAATTTTTTAACTCAACATTCATAAACAATTAATATTTAAAAATTTGAGTTGCCATTAAATTACAGGTTAATGGACATGAAGTTCCTCTCACAGAGCCACCGTACATCGCAGTTTACGAGCTGGCATCGTTGCTCGAACATTCCTGTAAAGCGAATTGCTCGAAAAGTTTTACTAACGAAGGTGGGCTAATAATTCATGCTGCAACACACATCACAAAAGGTGATTATACTTTACTAAACTTATGTATTGATTTATACGATTTAAAATAACGTTCACCGATAAATTTCACTATTGCGTCCAAGTCTGAGAAGTTACACTTTTAACGCACGGCGTTCCACGCGCCTACTTTTTCTTTAAAATTCATTTTTTTTTTGTCGTAGGAGAACACATTTCTATCTGTTATACGGATCCACTATGGAGTACCACAAATAGAAGGCACCATCTGTTCGAAACCAAATTTTTCGAATGCATTTGTGACAGATGCAAGGATCCCACGGAATTTGGAACGATGTTTAACGCTATAAAATGCGACAAGACGTAAGTTGCAAGTTGTACAATCCGGGTATTTACGAATTATCGGATATTACGTTGTGGAGTTGATAACAAATTTGTAACGTCCGATATCATGCAATGTAAATTTGATGTACGAATGCAAATTCTTATAGGTCTCATTGTATTTTCAGAAATTGTCATGGTTACATGCTGCCTAAAACTTTTCTCGATCCAGAACAAATGGATTATATATGTTCGACGTGTGGATCAATATTGCTATATAAAAAAGTTGAAGAAATTCAAGAGAACATCGGCATAGATCTCTCCAGAATGAAGAAAAACGATATTAAAGCGTGTAGAACATTTTTGGATCGTTATAAGACTGTGCTTCATCCAAATCACTTTTATAACACTGATGTAACTATTGCTCTGGCTCAATTAATTGGCCAACAAGATGGAGGATTACAAACAGTCGCGGACGATCTTCTTGTTAAGAAACTTGAATTGTGCAAGAAACTCGACAATTTACTCAAAATTCTTGCACCTGGTAAGCTAGAAAATAATGTGATTTTGCATGTAAATATCAGAGGAGTAAGGTTTGTTATTTTTCAGCTGAAAATCGAATTCGGGGATTAATTCTTTTCGAGTTGCATGCAGCCTATGCAGACTTCAGCAGAAGACACGTAGAAGAAGACACTCTACTATTATTAGGGGTAAAATATAACTTTAATCGTACATTACGAAAGTACAGATTTCTGTATTTATTTACGTTAAAGTTATAAACTTTCTTATTCTGTCTTAATTATTACAAATTCCTTTTTTTTTTTTTAGGAGTCAAGGAAGGCTTTAGTCGAAGCTTATCGATTATTAAAACTTGAACCAACAGCCCTTCCAGAAGGAAAAATTGCACAACAAGCTCAGATAAACTTACAAAAAACGACTAGTATTCTCAATCATTTGAATTCAGCATCTAAATCTTAATCACGCATTATCGTGTACAATACACGTGTCGACTGAAAATGCTTTTGATGGTGTATTTGTGTCATCATATTGTTATAGAAAGCGCAACAATAAAGACATGAACGTAGTAGGCGCAATCATTTGTAAAGAAATAAACGTATAAAATAAGCTGTGGCAGAATACTGTATCCCGATAATTATCGTATGTGTGAGAGTATAATGTGCGACATTTGAATTGAAAATATTAGTCGAGCCATGTTTTATCAGCCACGTTACGCTTCTTAAAGGTGCCTAAACAACATTTTGCAAGGTTCTCTTTCATTTCTAACGTAAATAATTGTAAGACATCTCATACTTGTCCTAGAAGCTTTGGTCACTTTACTCTACAGCTACTTTGTTTTTCACGTTTGCCGTACCTCCCGTTTATCGCATAGTCCTTAATATCGATTAACGATGTTCCTAGATACCAATATAAAACCTATTTATCACGCTGCATAACAACCGGTATATCACGATGACAAGCGGAAACGAATTTCCTATAGGTTCCATGTCCATCAGCGTGGCAGTGCAGGAAGTTTCGCCTCCACAGTGCGACGGGTGTTGAAAAAGAAACGAATTAAAGTTCCAATTTCGCTAAACTTGGACAAAATTTGCGTATGAAACGAGCCGTGACGGGTCGCACATGTCGCTATAATTTTAACAACGCGTGCCCTAAGGGCTTCGTGCCCCATTCAAGGGATGGATCGGGGTGGAAAAGACCGCAGGGTTGCTCGTGACTGCACAGCTAACCGGATGCGATTTTTTTTCTCGTTTCACCAGAGAATTGCTCGGGAGACCGTGCGGGCAATTCGTCTCGCTACTGTTGCCCAACGATCGTTGCCAAGGAGGAAGGCAAATATTATGCGTAGGTCATGGTTCGTCGCAGTACCTGTACACCTGGGTCGATAGACATCGACATCGAATTAATTTATTAAATTATTTTTCGTAAAATTTTGCAAGATTAAACAGATTGAGAAATAAATAATTATTCCTTCTTAGATATTTAACCCAAAGTATACATTCAAAAGGCTTTCTCCGAGTAAGATAATAATATAATAATTATCGATATACTGCTTTATAACTGGGAGTGTAACAACTAGACCGTGGATGCTTATGAACAATATTTTTACAGATACAGAAACAGATTCACAAAAAAAATAGATTCTAAACGTTATAATATAATCTCACAGATTTCCTCATACTTCTATTTGCTATAAATGCATAAACATCCGCAGTCTCTTAATAATGAATAATGAAATAAAAATTTGATGTGAAATAGTAAGACAAATAGTAGACAATATTGAATCTCCAACAAACTTTGATAATTTTAACAAAAGTCCCTTGTAAACCAATTTCAATTCTGCAATCCCCTCCGTCACCTGGACACACTCTGGGAGTCCATTTCGTCCGACGGACATCCGCTATTAGAAAATTGCCAGACGAGTCTCTCGTACTGTCTTACCACTCTTGCAGGTAACAAGAAGAAGCTCCTCGCCTTTATTGTTCGAGAAGAGGTTCCAGAAGTGGCCAGGATGGTCTCTTCTGCACACGATTGGCCTATTGTCCCTGGCACGTGCGTCCTTGCGGCATGCAGTCGCGCCGTCCCAGGAAGCTCTCGTTTCCACGGATGTACACCGGTTGTCATCGATTCCCCGTTGTTCGTAAATCAAGAAGGAGGCTATGGACACTCGTTCCTGACAGCGGGAAGACGTCCACGAGGAGCAAGCATCTGCCGCTCTGGCGCACACGTGTCTCTCTGAAGACGCTTGTTACAAGAAGAGGAACGCGTTACATCGGTCAAAGGATTCTGAATTTAGACTCTCTTAATTACTAGCACCCATTACGTTGTTATTGTGTTAATACATTTACTATACCCTCCTTCTTGTAATGTTCATTTTTGTTTATTTTCGTGCTTTAGTTTCTTCCATACGTATCTTTTTTTAGTCTTGTTTCTTTCCACTTCTAGTTTCTTGTATTATATTCTTATTGCATTATTTTTGAGGCCAGGTTAATGACAGCATATGTGTAGTTATATCATTAACGTTTACTTTATTGTACTTATAGACAATAATTTGTTACCGAGTAGTCGATTTCATGTAGGGTAAAAGTTTTATGCACCAAAAGCGTAACATTATTATTAATTTCACTTTCGGCGAAAGAGTTATTTCATTATCAAGGCCGGTCTTATTTCTCTTCGCGTGCTTTCCTTCTCTTAATTTTTCAAGAGAGAGCTGTCAAACATCCAATAATACAACGAGGAGATTTCAACGCTTCTGTTAAGGTCGACCAATTACGGCAGTCGATACATACGAAGAATTCAACGATAAATGTCTCTGGGAGATTCGATGGAAAAGCGTCGCGCCATTGATGGACAAAAGCGACAGCTGTAGGGGCGGCAGATCGCTCTGTTCAATGGCTTGAGATCAGAAACGAGGGATTTAATGTGGGAATCGGAATAGGGAAAATGTGGAAACTGTGATTTCGGGATAAGCCTGGTGTATTGTTACCCGAGCCAGCTCGAAATCTATTCTTCTGAACATATTGGCGACGTGGTCTTCGATATGGCAGAACGAGAAACATATTTTTTTTGTAGAAACTACATTCGACTGATACCTAACAAATGATACCCTCGAAAAGCAATTTATTTGCGATGTTTATTCGATCGAATAATTAAATTTCTATTTATTAATTGTCAAGTACTTTTATAATTTCAGGAAATTTTCTTTTAGATTTTTACTTAAATTTTTGCTTAACACACCCTTCGATGAAGCAAGTAACGTAATATATTTTGTCCCTCCCTTCCTTCGAACAGAAGTAAGCTTCTGTCCAGGACGATTCAAGAAATTCAAGCATCAAAATCAAAGGATCTCCTGCGTCACAGTTCGAAAGGAGCAGCTGTCGAAATCACGTTCCGATCTTCCATAGAAGAAACCAAACCAGAGATTAAAGGGGAGGATTCAGAGAAGGGAAAACCACCCTGGCGCACGAGCGTGCCCCGCCGACACCCTTCACGAGTACTGAAAAATGTGCACGTGCTGTTGTAGAGGGGGATCCCCAGGGTTCTCCAACCACTCGATCGGAGTTTACGAGGAACTTTGATATTAATTCGCTGCACTCTGATCAGCCAATTACGAGTACAAACTTCTAAACGATAAATAACGAATAATCCACTCAGTTCACGTGTTCGTTCGCCGTCATCCTCAGTGTATCATGGTAAAGGATCCTTAAAGAGCATTTTTAATCGAATAACACATATTCGTTTCCAGAAGGTTGGAGATCGCTGGTTGAGGGGATGATGGTTTCTAAGGGTAACGACGACGCCTATAGCTCATAGAATTTGCAGTTCGTGCTGAGAGTGTTGGATGGTTTAATTGTTCGTGCAATTATCGTTGGTATTATAATATTTGTGAAATATTTAATTTTAGTTACTATCACTGAAGTTTTAATTACGAAATTTATTTCTCTTTGTCCAGACAGTTTCCTTTACTTGCTCTTTTCTTTTAAACGAAACACACATTTACCTCGGTACTATGCATGATTTTCCTGTTTTTTTATTACTTCGTATGAGACATACATCTACGAAAGAAGCATTGCTGTCGTAAAATATAATTCCTTTTTGAATGATGTCATATTATTTTTTTCGCATCACTTACTCTCCATTCTATCTCTAAATATAAACAAAAACGTTCGGTGAGGTGTCATTTAGTCCCGCATTGTATACGTCATGCTCGAAATGCCCAAAACCAGCAATAATTGATCGTTCTTAATCGTCTAACACGTGTTGGTTCCAGATAGTTGGCGATCGTTGGCGGGGGGTTGGCAGCTTTACGGGGGTAGGATCGACGCCAATGGTTCATAGGATTCGCAGTTTAGGCTGTCAATGTTACGAGGACGCACTGACAGCACCGGCTCCGTGATCGCGGCACAAGGCGACGAATGCTCGACAGGAGCGGACACGGTGCGTGTTTCTTCAGTGTTAGGCACGCAGCCAAACAGCGCGCTACCTTCGTTCCCTATGGTTACAACCACGGGACCCGTCCTTTATTTTTTACCCTTCGTCGACGTCGAAACGAAAGGGCGGGAAGCGCGTTATTTTGCTGTCGGTGTACGTCGCATAAAAATACTCGCAACTTTCCTCGTCAGTTTTTCGCGGATATCGTCTCTCGGTGCGAGTGATCGAGACGTTCAAATTCGCGGAGTGTATACTCGAAGAAAATGAAAACTGGAACTCCATTAGACCCCTCATCTGTGACGTATTGTCTTCGAGATAAGCCAGTCTCAGACTGACACAAAGTTTCTTTCTTTCGCGATCTGTGCACTTTCTTTTTATTAGGGTTCGTTTGTCGAAGTTGGTTGGCTATTTGTGACGACGTTCGGTGTGGTTTTCAAATGGAATGTCGAAACAGCTCGAAAATAATCTAGATTGTACTTTTGATTTTTGTTTCTTTTATAATTAATATTTGTACAGAATAGAACTATTTATTTATGTGAATTTTTGAAAATAGCAGTGGAATGTAGTTTGAAGTGATTTCTGTTTACAATAACTATGAAGAATGTGACGTAATGGATGCACACTAAAAATATAGGGAAGTAACGTAGTTAGACACCGATATATAGCTAGTCTCTCCTTTCTTAATTATGTGCATATATTAATTTCATCGATTTCCATCAATTGCTATTACGTTTCCAATTATGAAACTATACTAATATCATTCCTGAAGAAACCCTTTCAGCCGATACGTCGAAACAAAGAAACCGTTTAACGAGATTTACACTCAACAGCTAGGAACGTGTAACTATTATATTTATTCGTAATCTCATCAAAGCACAGTTGTACCTGAAAACGTTCGCGTTATCAACGAATGAATGAACACCTCGTGAAACAACATCGCGTTGTGCAAACGTGTTCTACGAAAGTATAATCATCTCTGCATACAGATGAGGGCACCGTAAAGTGTTAATCGAGCTCTATTTGTTTCATTCGGGTGGATTCGCAGAGATCGAAGTTTATTTCTGGAAATGTGACGTGAAAAACAGTGAAACGTGGAAAACTGTGAGCTGTTTTCGTGGGCTCCACGAACGAAACGCGAATTTCTCAAACGAAAGACAGATTGCGGTCTCCTGTTACCT